TTTTTTTTGAATTTGGAAAGCGGCCTTGTGGATATGATTACACTAGAGATGGAGTTTCGTTAATTGAGTTATAGCACTAGATTCGAAATTGAAACAAACGAATAGTTAATTGGTGGTTGTAAAGAAATCTTTATGCAGTAAATACTTTTTGTAGACAGACACAAGATTCAATTGGATCTCACTTTCAAAACATCCATAGTAAACGTTTGGTTGATTAGATATTCTAAGGAAATTTCTTAAATTTCTCTAGAGCTGCGTTTTTTCTTGTAAGTCAACTCGTTGATACGTTAATTTCCCGATGGTTTCTCGTCAGATTTCCTGTTGCAGTACTCCTGGGGTAGCGAAGTGCTATGTACGATTCTGAAGAAGACGGCGATCGACGAAATCGCGATAAATTCTCACGTGAAAGAGATAGTCGACGTGATGATGACAGGTTGGTTATAGACTCAGCCTACCTTCAGTTTTGGTCATAATTATTGAAATTTTGAGGAGGCTTTTAGATTCTTTCGCAAAGGAATTTGCAGGAATTATCTGTTTTGAAAAGCTAAGCGAGTCTGAATAAGAACGACTAAAAATATATGTTATATGTTGTTGTTCTATCATACACATCTAGAGAAGCGTGGTTTCTTTGTATCAAGGTATGTAGCGCAAGCCACCCATAATAATTTACAGTACGCTCACAGCATGTCATTATGAGAGATCCGGTAAACGCGGTGCTATTACAATTTTTTGTAATTTATATCAACTGTTGTCAATCCTTTGATACCCTGTTTAGGAATTATCCGCCTTGATAATCTGGTACGTGGAGCACTTAGTTGACCACCGATTTCTTCTTAATTTCAGATACGGAACGAAAAGGTCAAGCTCATCTCGACGGGACGACGTGAAGAGAACACGGCACGAGTCTGTTTTATTTTCTTTTTTGCCTTAATTTTTCTCCTCTTTGGAGGCAAGCACTCATCTCCAAATCTTCAATAGCAGCTTATTTCTTTCCCAAATTTCGCGTTCCCTAACTATTCTAGCAGTGAGTCAGACAATGGCGATACTAAGGACGATTACTCAGGGCCAATGCTTAGTTTTAAGAAATTTTTAATGACACAGGTAATGAACAGCATGATTATTGAGTGGAAAATCAAGTTGATTCTATCTCTCAGGATGATGATATATCCGACTCTGCTGCATTGGCTGCTTACAATGAGTATAAACAGGAATACAAGCGAAGGGAGCTCCAACGTTTCTTTGATGCACATAAAACTGAGGAATGGTAAGAATTTTCATTTAGAGATTACTAAGTAGCATACAAAAAAGGGAATCATTGTAGGTTCCGTCACAAATACCATCCAGATGAGTCAGCTACGATTAGAGATGCTCACATGGCGGAAATTAAGAAACGATTGGACATCTTCAATGAGCTTAAATCGAAGGGCTGCTTTGACGATGTTACTCTGGATTTGACTCATGCTCGAGAAATTATCAGAATAATGGATACTCGTAAGTGGTCTTCAATTCTTTTGAGGAACTTTTCGTTCGAATTGTTCGAAACCTTTCAAGCATTTTTTAACAGTTTGTAAATTTAACAATTCTTTCAGTGGTTGTAAAGCTCGAAGGTGGTTCGGAAGAAGATGTTGAAGCTTTAAAAAATGAGAAGATTGAAGATGATTCCTTATTTGATCTTGGTGAGAAAAAGTCCGACGAGGATAATGGAGCCGACAAGGATGAAGCCCGAGGGTCAGAGAACGAAGGTAAAAACTTTTGGTGAAATTGGGGAGCTGAGAGATTCGGTGGTCATAATTCTAATTTTCAGCTAATGAGGATGGTCAACCTAAGCGTAAGAAGACGTTATTGCATAAGACAAGCTCAGTATTTATGCGAAATGTTCCGGCAACAGTCAAAATCGCTGATCTTGAGGCTGTAAGATTTTGATGGAATTGTTTTGAGAGGATCTCAAGAATGTGCAAATTACCCTTTCTTAGATATGCAGTCGTAGTCCTGGGTTCCTGCGATTGGCTCTTAGTGAACCTCACGCTGATCGCAACTTTTCACGCCGTGCTTGGGCCACTTATAAGCGCGATGTAAACATTAAGGAGATTTGCTGGACTTTGAATCAGACAAAGGTACCTGTTTCGTGAGTCTTTTACGATCTTGACGTGCTCAGATCTACGTTTCCAGCTGAACGACTCAACAGATCTTAGCGTTATCCTGAATCGCGACTTGACGCGACGCATTCGTGGCATTAGCGG